AAGGCCATGAGTTGTATTTCTTGTTCTGTTCTTTTTTTTCTCCTAAGATCTTGTTTCTCTCCCTACATTAAGTGTACAGTTGACACAGCCAGTACTTCCAGCCTTGTAATTGTTTGCCCATTGTTCTGTCTCCTGTTTTTGCACAGCGTTTTGACTAAATCAAACCCAAAACTTTTACAGATGTGGGAGAGAGGACTCACTCCTCTCCCAGTGCAGAGGAAAAGGGAATTAATATATTTCCCATTGTCCTTCCACTGTTAGTAACTCTGAGAAGATCATAATCGCTTCCCCACATCCCCACATTAGCAAGCTTTACCTAAGGGTTTCACCAGATGATCCCCTTCTTTTCCAGAGGTTCACTAGGCTGCTTGAGCGGCTTGCAGCTGAAGATGACTTTCCATCCCCTACGTGCATGCGGACCACAGTTGATGTGGTGAATGCGCTGCGTACGTTTCTTTCAGGCTTAGCGAGGATGATATAGACCTTGGGAACAAACATGCAGCCAAGGGCCACCGTGGCACTCAGACTCACTGAGAAACACATGGTGATTATCTTGTAGTTGCTTCCAAAATATATTGGCACAAAAGCCAGCCAAATGATGCAGGTGGTATACATTGTAAAGGCAATATACTTTGCTTCATTGAAATTAGCTGGGACATTTCTTGTCTTAAATGCATAAAAGGTGCAACTCAAAATTAATAATCCATTATATCCAAGGGGAGTGACAACACCCAAGTTGGTGGTGTTACAAATCAGGTAGACCTCCCGGATGCTTGGGTAATCATGCATTATATCTGGTGGCTCCATTATAAAGAGGGCAACAATTATGCCTAATTGTATACATATCAAGATAAATGCAATAACCAGTTGGGCGCAGGCACTCATGAACCTAGGTTTCTTTGTACAAATTTTCTTCTTGCTTCCAGCCAGGATTCTTGCAATGCGGTTGGTTTTAGTTACTAGAGCAGAATAACTCATAGCTGGGGAGAGGCCGATGCCAATTCGTTGAAGATAACAGTAAATCTGTTGAGGTTTTGCGATGAGGCAGAAAGTGCACAAGTAACCCAAGCAGATGCCGGCTAGAATGATGTAGCAAAGTTCTCGGCTGGATGATTTGACCACTGGAGTATCACGGTACATTATGAATATAGCTGTAACAAATAAGGTGGCCAGCAGACCCAGACATGCAAAAACAACTGCTGCAATTGGTTCAGGATCACCCCATCGGAGATACTGGACTGGGATGAGGTCGCAACCTACAGAAAAAGAAAAAAAAGAAGGTAAACTGAAGTACGTAGGAGTGAGATTTTTTTAATGATATAGTTACAGATTTTTCCTGATATTTCTCTTTTTTTTTGTCTTTCATGAAAGTGCCATTATAATGATCATAGGCTAAGATTATGTTAATATAATGGCACAATAAATACTTTTCAGTGACAGCTTATTTCAGTAATACAGTTTATCTGGAGTACAACACGGTGACTGAAAAAAACGGCCAAGATGACTAAGATGTCACCTTTCTTCACAGTGGACTTTTCCTTTTAAATTCTTTAAAATATAGCAATTTATGAACGAAATTCCAAACCAAGTTGCATTACCTCGGTGCAAAATGCTTCGGAATTGTCTGCATATCGCGTGCACTTAAAGGACCAGATGTCAGTCTTACTAATTATATTGTACACTATGAAGGATGATTGGCACCTCTTTAATGATCATGGAGAGGAAACTTAGAGATTCTAGCTGTCAATAAAAAGAGTGTGCTTCTTCAGAGTTGCAGATGATAGGTGATCTGGAATGGCACACTCTGCTCACTTCTTTGTCTGTCATTCATTCTTTTGAGATGAGTGAGGAATTAAAGCCTCATCTAACTTGTGAAATCAAACATTTATTGACAAAAGTCAATAAATTAGTGTCACAATTGAATTAAAACAATGCAACTCCATCTATGGATATTTGGTTTTCAATTTATGTATAGATGTACACATGCCATAGAAAGGCAAAGAAGCTTCTCATTTCACAATGTGCAGATCAATAGAGAGTAGTAAAAGTTGACAGAAAACTTGTTGCTGGCGTCCCTCCTTCGTCTCTCCTTTCCTTTTGCACTGTAAAGCCTGGATAGCTCTAGAAACCAAAAGGAATGAGAGGGGAGTACCTTGATGCTCTGGATTACAACTTCCTGACAGTAGTAGACACGCTGGCACTGCCAGCCAGGGCAGGACTGCTGGAAGGAGATGATGGAGAGGAGGAAATGTAACTAAAAACTTTTATTTCTCCTATACTTGTATTAAGCCTGACTAACCTTAATTGTAAAATATAAATGACCTCAAAATTTATGATTGATTGTTATAATCAGATTGCTGACTCCTGGCTAGGTCAGACAAAAGGGTGCCAGCCTGATTCAGGGTGGGTGGTAGCAAGGCACTTTACCCCATAGGACTGGAGTGCTGGGTGCTCGCATCTGTGTTTTCAGCAGTGAGCCTAATTAACGCTTTTTACCAGTGAGTGTGATGGAAGAACAGCGAAAACCAGAAAACATAATCTGATGTGTGCAGATACCATGTGGGTTATTCTCCAATAATCTTTATGAGTAAGTGAAGTCTAAATCTATTTCTGATTTTACTAAAATGTAGTTAATATTTTGGGGAAACAATATGTTACCAGCTTCTACTACTACTATATATTCTTGGACACAAAATTTGAGGAGAAGAGGTCTTTATCTGACAGCTGGGCTTTTACATGCAGACAATGATATAGGGGCTGATTTTTTTTCTTATGTTACAGCAGAAGTGAATCATAACCAACCATTTCTCATTAGTTTCAGACTATTTCATGCCTTCCTTGCTTTATTACTCTCTTTATATTCTCTTAATAAAATATCTGAGAAAAGAGTTGAAAACTTGTCCCATTTTTTCCCCCATCACTGGGTATACTTTACAAGGAAAATGCTAAACTGTGCAACGATTTATACCTCAATTAAGATTTAAGGACTGGATAGTGTTCATAAAGCAATGATTGGTGAGGTTTTCATATAATAGCATTGCAGCTAATGGTTTCTGACAATGGCATTTTGCAGAAAGGGACAACTCGGTCAAGTAAAAGAAATATGGGAAAACAGCACTGTGAGTGTTCAGGTTAGGTTGATGGCCAGGATTATACCAAGGCAAAAGCTGAAAAATGCTAATACAAGGAGAACTCCTTCCTATCCCCTTAAATATGTGTATGCTCAATGGTCATTTGGTCAAGATCCTGCCCCACAGTCCACCTTGAACACTTCATTAACATCTCTGAGCACCTGGAAAGTCTTCTCTCCTACCTGGCTCAGAAGCTCCAGGTGAAACAGAGCCAGTAGCCTTGTCTTGTGGTCCCTACAGTGTGCTGAGGCAATCTTTGGCTTCTGGAAAGGCTGTTAGGAGCCAGTCCAATTTGGAGCAGGTGTAGAGTTGTTCATTCTGTGCTCACAAGTGCACTGCTTCTGGGACCAAAGCCCCAGTAAAATTGACATAAAACTGCCTCTATATTCTTCTGAACAGAAATGCAGCCAGCGGGAGCAAGGTACTAGATACGCATGTGAATAGCAAGACAAGAAGATATAAGAAATTAGAGTTCTTTTTCACACACTAGGGACAGATTTTCTGAAAGGAGCATCAAAAATCACCAACAAATTACAGATAAGGATGTAAAAGGATCTTCGGGGGAAAAAAAAAAGGTTCTGGTATTTTAGAAAAACATCTGGGTACTTCAGGGATGGGCTAAATTGTGCCATAAACAAGAAGAGGAGAAGCTCTTGAAGGTTTGACCACTGCCAGAAGTGTATTAGCACCCTGCGCTCTCTCTGTAGAGGTAAACTTGCCCTTATTTCTGGTCTTTCATATTGTGTTAAAATTAGTTCATCTGGGAGAAGAGTTCACAGATATGAAGCACTATATTATAGTCCATATTTTCTGGGGATTTGATCTTGACACTGTTTTAATTTGTTATTATAGACTTGACACCTAAGAGACCTTACCGTGCCTACAGCATCCATAAAACCATATTAGTTTAGCACTGAAAATCCCTTTCATGGTAGGCAATATAAAATACATAATTAAACTAGTTCCAAAGGTAAACATGACAGACTAAGGCCTGTGAATAGGATGCACTCTGGAAAGTGAAGGGAATTTGGTGAAGTCTCTTGAGTCAACATCACCAGCCAAAGCTCACTGAATCTGCACATGAAAACTAAAACTGGCAGAAAATTACTGCTGATTTAGTAAGTCCTAAATATTTTTCAGTGGCGTTTGGAATCCTGGGCAGTGAGTTCAATCTGCTGATAAAAGACTTGGTTGTCTTGGTAATTTTTCAGACCCTCCCAAGTATAGCAGAAGTCCAAATATGAAGGCTGAAACCTGAACAACAACCTAGCCATATCTTAGTTGTGAACAAGAGTCTCAACATAGGATTTAGCACATATTATTCAAAGTGTATTGTTGTTACGTTCTTAGATATTTTATATTAATGCTTCTGAATGTTTCCTTATTTATAATCCCAAAAGATGGTAGAAGGGATATCTTGATTAGTTATTTGGGTTTTCACATATGGAGATCTGAGATATAAAAATGTAGGAGTCAGAATGAAAATCTACAAGAAGCTGGCAGGGTAGCTTTTATATATATATATATATATATTTTTTTTTTTTTTTTTTTTTTTTTTTAAATACAACCCCAACTTGTTACTCAAACTAACAGGACAAAAGTGAGGATTACACTCTCCAAAGTCTTAGGTGAGAAATCTCTGACCTCCACATGGAATGTGGACCAACTGGAGTGAGAGAGGACATCTTTAACATTTCAGTACTACGTTCTGGTGCTATAACAAACTGTTATCATCACTAGCTCTTCGCCCTGTTCTGGTGGGACCTTTTGTAGTCACAACAATAGCAGAGCATGTAGAGCCAACGTGTGCTGGCTTCTTAGTTGCTGCAGTCCCAGGCTGTCACGTTTACTGACATCATCAGCAGAGGTGGGTTTTCACACTCATTGGATGCAGCTGAGGACTGTGCATGTGTTTATTCTGCCACCTCTGCAGGGCAGGAGTTGGGATCAGTCACATCTTAAACCATGAAATCTGGGCATCAGTAGTTCAGGAGCCCAAGTCCCTAGTAACTCAGCTATCCTGATTTAGCTGTGCGTTGCAGTAAAAGGCAAGGCCATGAATCTCAGAATAATACATTAAAGTTACTCTGTGACCACATGGGGAATGATTCCTTAATTACACAAATGTGCAGAATGACTGGAACAACTGATGAATTGCAGCAATCAGATCCATCCTTATGTTAGCTCTAATGTTTTGATTTAAGTGTCACTAAGAAATGCTGGCTCTGTGTGCTGTAAATGTTTTGTTCAGAATATGTCATGTTCAGCAAACTTTCCATAATGTAAGGCACAATTACAAGTGGATCCTTCTGGCTTTATTGGCAAGTACTCCTTCATCCAGCCCAGGAGCCTCCAAGAGCTGTTCGTAGAGCTCAGCATTCTTGAGCCAGCTCGCTTGAGCCTGAAGCACTGTGTGGCTCACATCGAGGACTTGGGCTGTAAATGGACCTGAAGCTGAAGTCCACATCTAACCTGGAACAAGCAACTGAGGGAAAAAAAGTCCACAAATCTAGCAACAAGGGAGGGAAGAAAATGAGTCAGAGATCCTGAGGAGGGCCATGAAGATGAGAGGGCTGGAGCACCTCTCTTATGAAGACAGGCTGAGAGAGTTGGGGCTGTTCAGCCTGGAGAAGAGAAGGCTCCAGGGTCATCTTATTGCAGCCTTCCAGTACTTAAAGGGGGCCTACAAGAAAGCTGGAGAGGGACTTTTTACAAGGGCATGTAGTGATAGGACAAGGGGCAATGGATTTAAACTGAAAGGGGAGATTTAGATTAGATATAAGGAAGAAATTTTTCCCTCAGAGGGAGGCATTGGAACAGGTTGCCCAGAGAAGTTGTAGATGCCCCATCCCTGGAAGTGTTCAAGGCCAGGTTGGATAAGGCTTTGAGGAACCTGGTGTAGTGGAGGGTTTCCCTGCCTATGGCAGTGGGGTTGGAACTAGATGATCTTTGAGGTCCCTTCCAACCCTAACCATTCTATGATTCTGTAGGAAAGTTGGAGAGTGACTTTTTACAAGGGTATATAGTGATAAGACAAGAGGCAATGGATTTAAACCGAAAGAGGGTAGATTTAAATTAGAGACAAGGAATAAATTCCTTTCAATGAGGGTGATGAGATACTGGAA